GTCACTGAAAGGGTCATTATACAATATGAACATTCTGTGGGGGGGGGGGGTTCTCCTTTTTAGGAGCTCGGGATATGTACAGAGCCTACAGCGACATGAGAGAGGCCAACTGGAAAAATTCTGACAAATACTTTCATGCCAGAGGAAACCATGATGCGGCGGAGAGAGGAGCAGGGGGGAGATGGGCTGCTGAGGTTATCAGGTAATAAACCTTAAAATGATTGGAAATAAGTTTTTCAAGGTCAAACACTGACAAGCAGATAGATCTTTTGTGTAGGTCATTAGGGTTTGTACTGATATGTGACGCATTAATGTAGAGACATGGTTAAGTGTATGCAAAATAACTGATATTTATTGGGCTGGTAAGATTTCTAAACAAAGGAATTCCCATTCTTAACAGCAAAGCAAAACTTATAAATTGATTGTAAAAGTAAAGTGTTGTGTGATTGTGTGCTTTCCCAAATAACATTCAAGGGTAAAAATAATTGCAACATTTCACCTTTTGATAAAAGCAAGACTTCAAGTATTTTAGGGTGTCTACTGACGGACCCTAGAACTTTTGAACAATATGACAAAAAAAAACAAAAAAAACAGATGGTGTGAAAATGCCTTTTGTTTCCACAGGAATTAGGATTTCTCAGTTAAACAGAGCAAATTCTAAATAGATTTTTTAAAATGTGTATTTCTCTCTTTTCAGCAATGCCAGAGAGTGGATACAGGAAAGAACTGGTCGTGGTGCTTCGGACTCAGAAGCTGATCAAGAAGCAAATCGTTGGGGTCGGAGCGGAGGAGATCCCAACCGTTACAGACCCGCAGGCCTTCCTGATAAATACTGAGAATATAATACGTGGTCTAATAAAACTCATGATAAACATGTATTTCTCCACTCATTTGTGATGCATGATTAAGAATAAAAGTTATTTCTTTGTTATTTCAGTAAAATTAAAACCCCATATGAGGACTTGCATACATTAAAAGGAGTTTTAGGATCTTGAATATCAAATGTACGGTATATGAAATAATCTCTCTAATAAAGTAATCTATGAACTAATAAAAGTAAAGAATATATGATATAGGCTAGAGACATAAGGATAACATAAACCCAAAACCCAATGACTAATAAAATGGCACTGAGTCTTCATATAGGAACCTGAAGGTGATAAAAAATGTACAAATTCCAGAGTAAACTCTGTAAAAATTCCAAAGTAAACTCTGTAAACTTGAATTCAGAAATCCAGGGCAAGAGATAGAGCCTGTCTTGACTTAGTGTGATCAGTGCATCATTGTAATGATATCAGAAGCCTAAAGTACACATTTTCTAACCACTTCTCTAAACCAAAAACATTATAATTTAATGATCAACTTAAAAATTAAAACTACAGTGTGTAATTTTCAGCGACATCTAACGTCCAGACTGCAGACTGCAGCAACATGAACATCTCCCTCCCACAGCTTCTCCCCTCCAACAGTACGGCGAGCGTTACGGGACAAAATGTCTT